AAGTCTGCGGACGGTGTTGGCTACTCTGTTGTTTTTCCTGATCGCACTTATATGTGTCGCTTACCTCCGGAGACTAGCATCTTTACAGCGGAGCTTTATGCTATTCGCTATGCTCTTCGTCTCCCGCTTTCTCGTTGTCAGTCTTCCTTTGTAGTTGTTGTTGACTCATGTAGTGCCCTCATGGCTCTCGGGTCCTTTATTCTGGTTCATCCAGTAGTTGTCGAGATCCAGAGTTGGCTGTTTCTTGTCCACAGTAAATTTAAGTCGGTTGAGTTTTGTTGGGTTCCCAGCCATATTGGTGTGTCTTTTAAATGAGCGTGTGGATGCTGCCGCCAAGGAAGCTGTCCACTCTTGTCCCATCTCTCGTAAAGGTATTCCATATTCCGACTTTTACCCGGTTATCCATTCTTCCATTCTTACCCGTTGGCAGGCTTCTTGGTCGTCTGTTACTGGTAACAAACTTCGTACTCTTAAATGTTGTGTTTCCTCGTGGCAATCCTCCTGCCACCGTAACCAAGGATGGGAAACAGCTCTGGCGAGGTTGTGTATTGGCCATACTCACTTAACCCATGGTCACTTGATGGAGCACCGCCCTGCTCCTTATTGTCCTAATTGCATTGTCCCTCTTACGGTCGTGCATGTTCTTCTTGAATGTCCTGACTTCCAGGACGAGCGTGTGTCTTGCTTTCCGACCGCCCCTCGCGGTCGCCTGTCCCTCAATGGAATTCTTGGTGACTCGGATACTTTTGATATCGTTCGCCTTATGCGTTTTTGTTCTCGTATTGGCATCCTTGGTGATATTTAGCGCCCTCTGATTATTCCGCACATTTGAAGGTGCTACATAGCCTTCCTGGTTTGGTGCCTTCTTTTGATAATTACTTACTTACTTGTCTTTGGAAGGAGTTGCTGAGAAAACTTCGAGGCCAGTAGAGGAGGATTCAGTGGATGGAACTCCAAGGCTATTTAAGAAATACTGAGCTCTGGAAGAGCAAACCCTATAGTGAGGAGTTGGACCTCAAGCTGTGAGAGGAGAAGCAGTGGAGAAGAGTTTACATACTTTTGTGATACCAGTGGTGAAGGACCATTGTTGATCAAGGAAGACTTCTTGGTGTAGCAGCCAGGAGCGCTGTGGAGGACCCTGGTAGAAGTGGTGAAGCACCTTTGTTGTTCAAGGAAGACTTCATGGTGTAGCAGCCTGGAAGAGCTGCGGAGGGTCCTGGTAGATAAACCCGGAAGAACCTGAAGATATCAGGGTAGTGAGCTTCCAGATGTGGAAGGGAAGTTCTGGTTGATTGAACAAATCCACAAGGGCCGTGACGAGGATTCGAACCTGCATCCGGGAGCATCCCAGACACTGGGATACGAATCCTCGTCACGGCCCTTGTGGATTTGTTCATTTGATGCATCACGTTAGTGTGATCTCTGTGTGTGTTCTGGTTGATTACTTGTAGGGAGTGGGCAGAGTGTTTGGTTGTCATTAGCATACAAGACGCAGTGAAAGGTGAGTGATTGTTTGCCATTTTTGTGCCAAGGAGAACTTATACTGAAGTATAGAGTTACAGTCGTAGGCTGGATTATCTGCAGAGACATACATATGTGCTCTAGAACTGATAGAGTGATCGATTGATCATTGTTGTATATCAAGGAACATTTATACTAATATTTATGTTATGGCATTCATATGCTGGTTTTCCTTGCACATATTTATAGATATATATTCTTTTGCTGATAGTGCAACATTGTGTTATAAGACTTGACCTACTTGAGGAGATTGGTAGTATTAGGTAGTGAATCAGGAGATAGGATACCACTTGATAAGCAGTTAATAGAGTTCTGATAGTGTTGGAGTGCAACCTGACTGAAACAGTATAGAGTGTAGGATTCATTATTATTATATGTGTGTATGTATTGTGTAAGTGCTTTGTCCAGTAAATGTATTCAAATTTGCTGGTGTTTGCCCTTGTCCTAGTGAAGCTTCCCAGGAAGCAGGAAAGAAGGAGAGAAAGAGAAAGAACCAAGAACCGCAGCTGTGGACAGGGTAGAGCGGAATATTAATAATAAAACAAAGGGGATTGAGGAGATCATGCCACATAAAGAGAAAGTGGGGAGTCATGGCGGCTCGAGTGGGTGTGTGCACGTGACAACGAAGCTAAAGTATTGGAGCCGCATCCCCCTAAACGTGTGACGTTGAGCCCCTCTCCAAGAGCCAGAAGCGCCCAGGGTGATCTCCAGATAAAGTATAAGCACTCTACCGAGTTTTGGGTTGGGTTGTCCATAAAGAAGGATCAACGACAACACCAACCACAATACCCTACTCTGCTCTCCTCTCACTCTATTATGCACTTGTCTAACCCTATCTTACTTACGGTATTTGTGCATGGGGTTCAACCTCTGCAAACTATCTCAAGCCCATCACCACCCAGCAAAAATCGGCTATTAGGACAATAACAAACTCTGCTTTCAGACAACACACAGCTCCCCTGTTTAAATCCCTAAACATGCTAAACATAAATTCTCTCCATACATTCTCTTGTGTCAATTACATTTATAAAACCCGTTTCTTAAGTACAAACCTTGTTCTGAAACTCTTCCTGGACAGATGTAATAGATCACACTCACCACACCAGACATAAATGTCTTTGATATCCCCAGAGTCAAACCTAATCTGTGTAAACACTTTGTTACCGTCACGAATGACCAGTAACCGGGTTCTAGATGGAAAACCTTTTATGTAGTATCCGATCCCGAGTCGGTAGTACGCTTTCAAGAAAATGGCTATATAGTGCAAAATAAAGGGGGAGGGGGGATGAACAAAACACTGTTCCTTTCACCAGTGTATTATATATTTCACCATCACCGTTAAGTATATTATATATATATATATATATATATATATATATGACCACCATCACCGTTAAATATATATAAAAAAACAGATAGGCTATTTTTCCACCTATATACAATGATATCCTTTCACTCGGGATATTAAGCGCGCTCACGTGCAGAGTTCGTCAAAACCCAGTGTTTCTCCACTGCCCAGTAGCTTATCCAACCTTACTGAGAAACACTGACGAGTTCACCTGTACGTGGGTCAGCCCACCGACAGTGTCACGAGGTGCCTGTACCCCCACGACCGCTCTCCAGCTACTCGATGGCAGAGGACCTCAGCCACACGCTGAGCGGGGTCACAAACCAATACAGGGGTAGCAATCCCCTGGCAGCAGCACCAGTACAGCGACCAGTTAGCAGCACTACTCAAAAGGGACTTCCCTGCCGTCAGTTTCTCCCCTAAGCCAATCCTAGAGGTATACCGATCTCTTTCAACATTATGTAATTAGCAGCTACCACACTGCTTTAGATCGGCGGCGGCTTACTTGGTCGTTTTTCCAGGACCATGTCGGGAGACCGTGAACTGCCCAAGATGAACTGCCGTCTCCAGTACCGCTGCCCCCAGACGTCACCTCTGTGGATACAAACACGTCATCAATAAACTTACCGGTACTGGTGAAACTAGGAAGTAACACTAACCCACTGGAGAAGTGACATTGTGCTCCTTAGCACAACGTAGGTGGCACTGGTTTTAATTCGCCACCTCACCAGAGGTCACCCACAATGACCTCTCTGGCTGTCCAAGGCAGGAAACTGGAGCCATTTGCTGTTACCAGGTTACTACCACCAAGTGGTGTTGTTCGTATGGTGTCCGATAGCATGGGAGTTAGAGAGCAGACTCACAGATAGCGCTGAAGTCACTACTCCCTGCTCCGATGAGGTTGTTGGGTTCGTAACAACACTCTATGCAAATAAATGGACCTAGTCTTTGGAACACACTCCCTAATGAATTGAAAAGCTGTCCAACTTTTGCCTTATTCCAAAATAAAACCAAAAAGTACCTAATTTCATCTTCATAGTTTCCTACCGAATGCTTTAACTCGCACTGTATCTAGTGCTACCAAATCCCCCAATATAAGTACCTAAGCCATATTACTTTTCCATTGTAATCTTAGATCTGATATCATAGTTGTAATATTGAGTACATATTCTGCTGCATTATTCCTTGAAATGATCCTCAAACTGTGCTACAGTGAACCAATGTATAACCCTGATATTTTGTCTAAAATATCAATGTATAACCCTGATATTTTGTCTAAAATATCAATGTATAACCCTGATATTTTATCTAAAATTTATCCTAAAGTATCCCAATGTAGCTAGAAATCCTTGTTCATTATAGTGTTTTGTTATTATTGTGTATTATTCTAATCTTTATTTTTGTTGACCTGTAGACAATTTTTGTCAGTCTTAATGTAATTTATCTGCTTAAAATTACCTGTAAAGTACCTATACCTGTACCTGTAAAGTACCTATACCTGTACCTGTAAAGTACCTGTACCTGTACCTGTACCTGTACCTGTAAAGTACCTATAAACATTTGTTGTCAATTCTACTGTAAATTATCTACTTAAAATTATCTGTTAGTTTAACGAGTTGGCCGAAACGCTATGCGTGCTAGTAGCTTTACAAGATTGTAAAATCAACATTATTACTATGTTCTCTCTTAACCCCTAATGTACCTTCTTGTATATAAATAAATAAATAAATAATAAATAAAAAAATGATGCATCACGTCTTCCATAATATTTAGTGTTTTCTTTATTACAAGAAGACTTTAACTTTCTAAACTCTGTGGTCTTATTGGGTATTGTTTCGTGTGGGAACGTGGGAGTATAAGTGTTACTTCAGTGAGGGATAATGCCAGTGACTGGAGCGTGAGCTTGTGAGTAACGGCTAGGCGTCTGGACGGTAGAACGACAGTCTCACCTCATGCAGGTGGCCTTCAATCCCCGACCGTCCAAGTTGGACATGGGAGGGCACCATTCCTTCCCCCCCCCCCATCCCATCCCAAATCCTGATCCCTTCCTAGTGCTAAATAGTCGTAATGGTTTGGCTTTTCCCTGATAATTCCCTTCCCTATTAATCAATCTCTCTCTCTTCCCCGGCAGAGGCTACCTGCTCACCCTCAAACTCTCACCAAACCTGAGGCGGCCCCACAAGGAGGCCAAGGGAGCCGACGAGCACAAGCTGAGAGAGATCGAGCTGGCCAAGATCGAGAGAATCATCGCTACGGCCAAAACCACAGACAAGACAATACTTTGTTGATTTTTTGTTTGGTTTTTATAAAAAAAAATTGTAATTGTTGTTGCTCTTATTATTTTTTCCATTATCAAAGTCTTCATGTTCACTAATTAATGTTACTCGCACTTAATAAATGCCACAGAATAAGCATCATAGATGACTTTTCCAAACCCCCAACCTGTCCAAAAGCGTGACTGGTCGTACCAACCAGTCATAGAGCGAGACTGGTCGTACCAACCAGTCATAGAGCGAGACTGGTCGTACCAACCAGTCATAGAGCGAGACTGGTCGTACCAACCAGTCATAGAGCGAGACTGGTCGTACCAGTCAGTCATAAAGCGAGACTGGTCATACCAACCAGTCATAAAGCGAGACTGGTCGTACCAGTCAGTCATAAAGCGAGACTGGTCGTACCAGTCAGTCATAAAGCGAGACTGGTCGTACCAGTCAGTCATAAAGCGAGACTGGTCGTACCAGTCAGTCATAAAGCGAGACTGGTCGTACCAGTCAGTCATAAAGCGAGACTGGTCGTACCAACCAGTCATAGAGCGTGACTGGTTGTACCAACCTGTCTAAAAGTGAGACTGGACCAGTACCGAGACATCACTCAAGGGTTCACAACACCAGTACCGAGACATCACTCAAGGGTTCACAACACCAGTACCGAGACATCACTCAAGGGTTCACAACACCAGTACCGAGACATCACTCAAGGGTTCACAACACCAGTACCGAGACATCACTCAAGGGTTCACAACACCAGTACCGAGACATCACTCAAGGGTTCACAACACCAGTACCGAGACATCACTCAAGGGTTCACAACACCAGTACCGAGACATCACTCAAGGGTTCACAACACCAGTACCGAGACATCACTCAAGGGTTCACAACACCAGTACCGAGACATCACTCAAGGGTTCACAACACCAGTACCGAGACATCACTCACGGGTTCACAACACCAGTACCGAGACATCACTCAAGGGTTCACAACACCAGTACCGAGACATCACTCAAGGGTTCACAACACCAGTACCGAGACATCACTCAAGGGCTCACAACACCAGTACCGAGACATCACTCAAGGGCTCACAACACCAGTACTGAGACATCACTCAAGGGTTCACAACACCAGTACCGAGACATCACTCACGGGTTCACCAGAGGCTGCAATAGCTACTGTCAGCCCGTCCTCCTTCTTCTTCTTGAGAATAGGCGCAGTTTGCATGAAGGGGTAACCCTCCCGATGACTGCACCAGGACAGATGTAAGGAGACGCGTTGACGGTCAGGAGGAGAAGAAAGTCAAAAGCGGTAGATGTGATGGGCCGTAGAGAGAGGAGTGGCGACGAAAACAGAGGCGAACGTTAGAGGGAGACTCCCCGCACCGGGGGGCGGGGCGTCGTGATCACGGTGGCAGCTGATCCATGCACGGCTTAGCAGCGTGCGCAAGACGGGAACTAATACTTCTCCGGAAACTTGTGTATCGGAAAGCGCAAGCAGTACGCTTCCCATATCACCCGCAGGTCAGCGGGCAGCCGGCCACCAGGCGGCGCCCTCGGCTGAGACATCCTATCCGGCACCCTATACACAAACTCCTTCACCCGCGACACCCAGACAGTGGACGAGCACCACGGGATCGGAAGCACCCGGGCATCCCGATAAGGGCCCAACTCCGGACCCTCACAGGGCACGACCCCAGCAGACGGGACTAGGCAATCCCCAGACTGGAGCAAGGAAGGAGGGGATACAGCAGGGGACGCAGGCGCGGCACCGACCCCACCACCGGGCACAGGAGCCGAGGCCCTCTGGCGCACATCTTTCCGCAACATCACGACGAGGTCCCGATCAGCAGGGACAACCCCCCACTGCGGAGATCCAACAGCAGGAGACGCAGGAGGAGAGGCACAGGTAGCAACGTCGGAGCCCCTCACAGCACCACCATTCTCGGCGGGGGGCGCCAGATTACCATACTCCCCCACCTCCTCCCAAGGCACACCACGAAGGGGAGACACACTCCGAGCCCGCCGTGAACGCTTCGAGACAGGCCTCACCACACCACGCCCAGCAGGCCCCGCCGCAGGCACGGCCACCATCTTTACATCCACACAGGTCACACCCGCACCGTCCGAAGAGTCCACAGAGGCCACATCACCCACACTGTCCACATCATCCAGGGAAACAGCCTCAGAACACCGACGCGCACGCTTCTGCAAAGGGACGGAAAGAGCAGAACTACACTCACCAACACACACAGACACGGCAGGCACCTCCCCCTGCCGAAGCACCCCCTCTAAAACAGCAGAACCCGCGTCCCCGGGAGCCGGTATCACATCCACAGGCGGGGGCGGGACATGGACCTCCACCGAGACATCCTTCACTACACGCAGCTCAGGCGACGGCCCGACACCCACACACACCGGCTCAACAACCCCAGGGGCCATAGCAGTCACCTGACGTGTCGCCGTAGAACTCGCCCCAACAGGCGGAGCAGCAGACAGGCAATCAGGCGCCTCAGGCACAGCACCTACTCCATCCTCAGAACCGTCCGAACGTAACAAGGGCGGGAAATCCTCTGCACGAAAAACATGCACCCTACCAGTTGCACCCACGTCGCACGCCGCAGCCAGATGACCCTCGTGACCACACCGATAACAGGTGCGCGGTTGACCCCGGTACAGGCAGCGGAGCGTGTAACCCAACACGGACATCGACGACGGTACACTACACTTCAGCGACATCGTCAGGGTGCGGGAGCCGTCAAGCATACCAACACAGTGCCCGGCAACGACCTTGTTCCAACGAACACTTAACACGGTCCCAAATCGCTCAAAACAGGAGGTTAAAAAGTCGTCCTGAAATTCGAAGGGGGCACCATGCACCGCCACAGACGTCAAGGTGACACTAAGATTCACCACCTTAACTGAGCCAGCTGAATCAGGGAGTGGGTAAACACGCCCCTCACAACGCTCGAGAAACACCTGAAAGGCAGCCTGGAGGCGGAACTTTACCACAGCACGGTTGCCCTGAAGCAGCTGGACGCCCACCAGGTCCGACAGCTGCACATGAAGCACGTCCACCAGGGCGACACCAACCAATGGATGGTCCACCGGCACCGTAAACGCTCGACCAGCCGACAATGTCCTCTGCACTGGAGGGCGAGATGACACCACCAGCAGGGCAAACAAGCAATCACCCAACGTAAACACTAGCCAGTGCGGAGAGACCTCAGGAGCGTCCGACCTGGCCGGTGGTCACCACGCAACTCGCCCGTCCTCCAAACAAAGATCCAAAAGTGATTCCATGCACCCGCCAAACCCCCTGTTTATGAATGAAAAGCGGTTTACACACGACTCACAACTGCTGACGTTCGAACATATCCGGAACAAGTGCTTCACTGACGAATTTTGTTCGAATCACAACGCTGTAAATGCTTCACCCACGTACTATAAATACAAATAATCGCCAACAGAACCTAAACACCTAACCTAACCTAACCTATGCCTATATATACACAATATGCCAATATATTATAATATTAATTTATACTTGAGAAAATTCCCGTTTTAAATGAACAGCATATTAAAATTTATGAATGCGTCTGTTGGGTCGACCGATGAATGTAATGGACTTGAGTCGAGGACGGGTTGCTACTGTTGCAGCCCATCGTCCAAACAAAGACCCAAAAGTGATTCCATGCACCCGCCTAACCCCTGTTTATGAATGAAAACGGTTTATTTTTATATATTTATTTATTTATTTATTTATATATATACAAGAAGGTACATTGGGATTGTGAGGATACATAATATGGTAATTACAATCTTGTAAAGCCACTAGTACGCGCAGCGTTTTGGGCAGGTCCTTAATCTAAGAAAATTTTAAGTAGGTAAATACTTGCAAAATTTATAAAAAATGATAGCAGTTACAAGGCAAGAAAAAAATGATGAGAGAAAATTGTAGGTATATTAAAGCACATAGGTAGCTCAGATTGATTGCAATGACAGCTTGAATGGTAGTTAACAAAAATTGGTTTACACACGACTCACAACTGATGTCGTTCGAACACTTTCGGAACAAGTCCTTCATTAACAAATTTTGTTCGAACCACAATGCTGTAAATGCTACACAAACGTGCTACAAATACAAATAATCGCCAACAGAACCTAAATACCTAACTTAGCCTATGCCCATATATATGCACAATATGCTAATATACTCTAATATTAATTTATATTTGAGAAAATGCCTGTTTTGAATAAACAACATGTTAGAATTTATGAATGCGTCTGTGGGGTCGACCGCTGGATGTATTTTTTTTTTTTTTTACATGCAAGCATGCTTATAAGTACATTAAAAGGAAACAAATACAACATAGAACAAAAGTACAAAATGACAAAGCACAAACTTGCAAAAGTACAAAGGAACAAAATTACTAAACACAGAAACGCCGGCTGGAAGGGCCGACCACAAAACAACAATAGTTACAAACAAAACACAACAATAAATTTAAACACAGCGGAATACAATACAGAAATGAAACACCAGAACATAATCATACAGAACAAGCTTACCAGCCCCTCAAACACACACGGAGAGGCACCAACACAAAACCCATATATATGCACCTAAAGCCTACAAATTCCACTGATGTTAATGAGATAATCTTTTCCCTTAAAACCAAGTCTAGTGCCCTTGAGGAGATACCAACTTCAATTTACAAAAAAGCCTCCAGATCTTTAGCCCCTGCTATTACATTGTTCTTCAACAAGTCACTTGAACTCCAAACCTTTCCAGATATTCTAAAAAAAGCGAGAGTAACCCCTGTCCACAAATGTGGTGATCCCACAGATGTTAACAACTACAGACCTATATCAAACCTGCCTAACTTGTCAAAATATTTGAAAAACCAATCTATAAGCAGCTTTACTCTTATCTAGCCAAACACAATATACTTAGCTCTTGTCAATATGGCTTCAGACCCAAAAAAGGTACTAACGATGCACTTATTAGTATGATTAACTTGATTCATGCAGCTCTTGATAAAAATGAGTTCCCTGTTGGGTTATTTGTGGACCTGCGTAAGGCTTTTGACACTGTCAACCACCAAAACCTTCTTCTTAAATTTCATCATTATGGAGTC